GCTTAAGGCTGATCCTTGATGTAACCCAACCGAAATAGGGAAATACTTAGTCAATCCACCTTGTGTTTGAATACAAGTAATAGCTCCTGCATACATATCTTTAATGATTTGAATATAAGCATTATTGACTCCTTTCTTTTCAAGAACTCTCCATAGCACTTCTCTTGGAACTTTATCATATGCTTTTTCTAAATCAATAAATATCTTATGTAGATCCTCCTTATTTTCTCTATATTTCTCCATCAAACCTCTTAATAAATGTATGGCTTCCATAGTCGACCTACCCGGCATGAATCTAAATTGATTTTTAGAAACATCAGTATCACGCCGCAGCATATGCTCCATAACTCGCTCCCATAGTTTTAAAGTACAACACATTAACTTAATACCTCTATAATTCGCACAATCTTGTGCATCACCTTTATTCTTAAAAATAGGAATTAACACACTCATTATCTACTTATCTGGCATCTTTTTAGTCTTCAAAATAGTATTAAAAATTTTAGTAAGCCATGAAATTCCTTCATCACCTAAGCATTTCCACACCTCTATTGGAATATCATCAAGTCCAACAGCTTTCCACCCTTCATTTTCTTTAAAGCCTCTCTAACTTCAGTTTTACTAATACGCCAATAAAAACAGAAATCTTTATTTTCATTTAGGGTGCTAAGGTCACTATAGTCAATCTTATTTTTACAATCTTCATTAAAAAGTTTAGCAAAATATCTCATCCACCTTTATTGAATATCATCTTTTAAGAAAAGTATTTTTTAATCTTCGTCCTTTATACACTTCATTTGAACTAAATCCTTACTACTCATGTCTCTTTGTTTCACTAACTTATACATATATCTGTCTCCCTCTTTAGTATCTAATCTATTATATAAATCACTAAAAACTAATGTCTTTGCATCGCATATTGCTTTCGGTTTCGTAGAAATGAAGCCCTATTTGAAGAAATTTGAACTTGTAGTTCAGCTGACGCGGATTTTATCTACCAAATCTCCAGTAAGCTATTAAAGGTTTATGGCATGCATCCAGCTTAAAAGTTTTGAATTACGCAAGGCTAAGCAACCCAAAAGCATAAAACCAATTTTTGAATTCTAACCATTTAATACCTGTTTAAGACAAAAAATAAATGCTTAATCATATAGAAAAATATAAAACTGCTCATATTCATAGGCTAGAGGTTTTTAGCGAGAAATTAAAAAATTCAAGCATTCACTTTTTGAAGATTCTAAAGTTTATAAATCCCAAAGCTCATGGCAAAGCATTCCAGGTTATAAAATTACTGCAGATAACTGGAACTTCATATATAAATCTGACAAAGCGGTTCCTCCGTTTTCTCGTCTTTCAAGAGCCGATTTAAAATTTTTCATGCTTGTGTTATAAATTAGCTACACCAACTACATACGCATTCCATGCATCTTGTTGCCCAAAGGATGATAATTCTTCATACTTGACATCAGAATCAGCATCATACTCCTCCAAATTTTCATCTTCTGTATTTGGCATCTCACGGATCCAGAAATGTATTGATTGGAAGCCAGCCTCTTCTAAGCAGTCCTTAATTTCAGTCAGCGACCACCTGATCATATGCAAAGTGTATTCAGAGTCACATAGCAAAAATTGTATAATCTTTTCCGTATCTGATGCAATAATGAGCACCACTTTTTATAGGGTTTTATAAGGGAAAAAAAGAACTATGGGCATGTTTTAGGTCTGCTTTTTTATTCTCTAGAGATTTAAGCACAATTCTATCTGCATTAACTATTTTCAGAATTTTGTGATACAAAAATTGTTTTTCATGTCTGCTAAGAATGTGGTAGCTACAAGAAAATTATTATCCTATTTTAAAAAAAATGTATCCATCAATAATAACTTTCAAAAAATTTATTTTTCTCACAATAATTCTACAGTTAGTTTTTAAATAGCTACAGCCATCCCAAATAAACCCCTCATCAAATATATACCCTCAAAATAATTGCTAAATTGATGTGGTATGCTTCGTATTATACCGCACCCAGCACGTTATCTTTATTTTGATGTAGACAATCAAATCGATCCAAGCATTCCGTGCAGCCAAAAACATCAAGACAGAAAGAAGCATGGAGGTTTAACGCATCTAACCCAATCAAACAAGATTGTTGTACATCCGGGCACTGTAGTTTAAATCAATAACCCCACATATGATACTTTAAGAACAGTTAAATCATTAGCTCTCCAAACCCTCAAAAGTCCATCGACATTCATACATTTTCAAAATGAATAACATGGATTTGAAAATGTGGATTCTAGACTACCAAAAGAGTTCTGATAAATGATGCACAAGCTAAACCAACGGTGTTAAGTTGTGAAGTCTGTCTTTTCACTATGACGGTCACACAAGCTTAATTGATAATTTTGTTATACAATTTTTAGTTATTTCATTAGGGAATTTTGGAGATTTTATTGTATTTTTTTGTCTGCCTACGATTTTTCTTTATAAATAGAGGGGGCATTTGTTGTATAAGTTAAAAAGAACTGTATTTTCTCCATAATCTAATTATAGTGCAATCTGTAGCACAGAAAATAAAGTGTCATCATCAATTGGATAAACAAGCATAAAATTCTATTGCATTTTTGTGGATTAATCTTCTTTACTGTTTTCAGTTTTTTTTTTTTTTTACACAAATCCATGCG